AATGGAGGCAGAAAACGTAAGTAATTTGCATAGCTACTCATCGGCGTGTCTCTACCTCACAGACAGGTCGCTATAGCATACATCACGAAGCTATAGCACACATCACGAACTGTGACATGCGAACCCATCTGTTCCCATTTATCCGAACATAGACTATTTCTTACATCAACTTAATTGCATTTCCTGGTGTTACTTCGATGCACTTCGTCCGATTTCCCTCTAAGATATTTACCGTCGATCGCTGTTGCGTTTGTCAGTCATTCATTTCCGTCATGTCCGTTTCCTCGAACTGGCCCTGGCTTTAGCTACGATGGGAATGAAGGTTGTTCGTTTTATTTTTTTTTTCTTTTATTTTTCTTGTATCACGGCACGCGATGCCCGCCCCTTATCTACCTACAGAATATTAATCCGGTAGTCTGTTTCTTTATGAAGACTGATGACAACACGAGGTAAATTATTGATCGGCGGTGTATATGTATATATTCTTTGCGGGAGCGTCGACTGGGCGCTGTTTGCCCCTCTCCCACCCACCCCACCCCCTACCTCAAGTCCTGCTTTGCCCCCTGAAACACTGTCATTTAAAACTTTATTTTGAACTAAATTACACCTCTATGGGTCTGACTTTAGCATAAAAAATGCTCCTAGAAAAGCTATTTTTTATAGATTTTTGTTTCCTTAGTTTGGTTGCCCCCCCCCCCCCCGCCCCCGGCCCCGCAGAAAAAAGCTGATATGTCGCCCCTCATTCTCTGCTAGTAAGGCTGACGTGTACACTTTAAGGCATGGGCTTTGAGTACGAAATTAAACCGTGTGTGTTAATTAATCATTTAATCTATCAGTTTATCAACTATTTTTTTTTCATTCACACACACACACATACACATATATGCCTTTAAGTGTCCGATTAGTGTGCGCTTTTCACCTGTGCCGCAAAAGAAGAGAGAGAGAGAGAGAGAGAGAGAGAGAGAGAGAGAGAGAGAGAGAGAGAGAGAGAGAGAGAGAGAAGAGAGAGAGAGAGAGAGAGAGAGAGAGAGAGAGAGAGAGAAGAGAAAGAGAGAGAGAGAGAGAGAGAGAGAGAGAGAGAGAGAGAGAGAGAGAGAGAGAGAGAGAGAGAGAGAGAGAGAGGGAGAGGGAGAGGAGAGAGGGAGAGAGAAGAGAATAGATAGTAGATAGAGAGAGAGAGAGAGAGAGAGAGAGAGAGAGAGAGAGAGAGAGAGAGAGAGAGAGAGAGAGAGAGAGAGAGAGAGAGAGAGAGAGAGAGACAGACAGAGAGGACAGACAGACAGCAGAGAGACAGAGACAGAGAGAAAACTCATGCTACTTTTGATCAATACTTTCATCGTGACTTGTCCAGCTGTATTTATCGTGGCGCAGGTCTTTACCGCCGTAGATCCTCCTCAAATCCTAAAATTTTCCACACAGCGCCTGGTGTATGGAGGTTGCAGACTGATCGCTGAATTGCACGCATATTGCTGACTCGATGGGGTCACCGAAAGGATGAACTGTCACGAGCTACCGGATTAGGAGAGAGAGAAAGAATAACAGAATGTTAAACAGAGTAAGATAGACAGATAGATAGAGAGAGAGAGAAAGAGAGAGAGAGAGAGAGAGAGAGAGAGAGAGAGAGAGAGAGAGAGAGAGAGAGAGAGAGAGAGAGAGAAGAGAGAGAGAGAGAGAGAGAGAGAGAGAAACAGAATGTTAAACAGAGTTAGAGAGAGAGAGAAAGTGTGTGAGAGGAGAAAGAAGAGAGAGAGAGAGATTTAAGGAGAGAAGAGAAATAAAAGAGAGAGAGAGAAGAGTTAGAGATAGAGAGAAAGAGTTAAGAGAGAGAGAAGAGAGAGAGAGAGAGAGAGAGAGAGAGAGAGAGAGAGGAGAGGAGAGAGAGAGAGAGAGAGAGAGGAGGAGAGAGAGAGCAGGTGGAAGTCACTAACCACACCAGCTGACCATGCACTCTCTCGTCCAATAGTGTTACACCACTAATTACATGACAACTGCTGCACTTTAGGAGTCACTGCTGTGTGTACTACTGCTCTCACTAGCCCCATCTTCAGTATCTTCTAAAGGTTATACAATATGAATTCAGAATTGGATATGGAAGGATAATTCGGTACCCTCCTCTGACCCTACAACACACAAGACCTAAAGGATGTAACATTAAGAAAAAAGGTTATATTTGTATTTTTTCTTCCAGTTTCGGAGAAAATTCGTTGGGGCCGATAAGGTCAGTGATCAAAATGAAACCCAAGGCTTAAAAGTGCCTTGCAGATCTCGAAGGCTTTGAGCAAAAGATACACGACAGAGAACACTAAGGAAACCATATCTGTTGTGGCCAAAATTCCACACAGCTTCTGAGACGGTCTTTGGACACGTTTGCGAAAGGCTGTGCGTGCGTAAGAAGCCTTAACATCATACACTATGTTAGGTTCTGACCCTCTGATGGAGCTGACCTTTAGTGGCCAGGAATAGCTTCATCAATATTATCAGTGGGCTCCGGCCACACCCGCCACCACACCCTTATCCTTTGCTACACCCTCAGACACTCAAACACACACGCACACGCAGACACACACACACACACATACACACACACATACACGCACACACACACTTTTCGTTATGTACTCAAACGCCAAATGACGAACCACAATCCATTTTCACCTGACGCGTATCGAACTGTGCCTATTATCGCGTATTCCCTCCGTTTCCCAGAAATAAAACAACTCAACGGATAGATACAAAAATACATGGATATAACGTTCATGTAGGTACCTAAAGAGTGAAATAAACAACTCAACGGATAGATACAAAAATACATAAATATAACGTACATGTAGGTACCTAAAGAGTGAAAAAACAAAACAGATATGTAAATGAGATATCCCAACACCTCACACTTTAAAAAAAAACAAGCCTTTCTCCGCAGGTCCTCGGCAAATGCGATACGCAATTGGTAGAAAAAATAAATTCTTATGCACTACTGTAACCTTTCCAGTCCTCATGCATTTCTAAAGCACAATCTCACGTGACATTACAGCTCGTATTTCGAAAGCACAGGTGATCTCGGAAATTTTAAAGAGTATAGTTTTTAAGGAGTAAAATCCTTGCGCCTTATTTAGCGAAGGAACACGCTGGACCCTGTCACCCATCAACACTAGAAACGCACTGCAACACTATACACCCACGTCCCCTCACCGTAAAACACCTTAAACTATTACTACAAACACTCCTACATTAAAAATTCAACCCCTCGTCTATTCCATATCCCTCTCTGACACATAATTACACTCTACCACATACTCGACACAAACTTTACTCCTTAAAAACTTCACTCTTTAAAATTTTACTCTTTGAAAACTTCACTCTTTAAAATTTTACTCTTTGAAAACTTCACTCTTTAAAATTTTACTCTTTGAAAACTTTACTCTTTAAAATTTTACCTCTATTGAAACTTCACTCTTTAAAATTTTACTTCTTTGGCAAAACTTTACTCTAAAAATTATATCCTTTCCAGCTATGAAATCGTATTTTCATTCGCCCTGCCCCTCCACCCTCGCTGACATCAGGGTATGTCCGTCAGCAAAATCAATCATTGATTCCATTATTAGCAAAGTCGGTAATGGCAGCAATTATCCTTAATTATCAGACATTTTTAGCAAGCAGGTGCTTAGGGCTAGTGAGGCGGACAAGTGCGAATATAGTGCGCATTAAGTGTAAATAATTGTCGAGTCGTTTTGTTCTTGTAAAATATATGCTAAATATCGTCGGCTGAAGCATGTCTCAGGTTTAAGGTGATCAGGTGATATTGTGATTAAGTTTATGGTTGAAAATCGCGTAGAGTGACATAGATAAAACGGCCAAATAACTCTCAAATGAACCAAGGCAAAGAGACCAATCAAATAAATATACATATACCTATAAATGAAACGACCGAAAACTCCAAAAACAAAAGAATAACACGAATAAAACTACTCAAAATGGAAAAGAAAAGAAAGAAAAGTCAGCATTTTACTATCGCAGGCACGTGTAATATAAGTTTGAATCATGCAGGAACCAATAGCTAATGCCAATCTATTTTGTTCAGTGACGTGACGCTTCATGTAGCTGTGTGTGTGTGTGTGTATGTGTATGTGTATGTGTGTGTGTGTGTGTGTGTGTGTGTGTGTGTGTGTGTGTGTGTGTGTGTGTGTGTGGTGTATGTGTGTGTGTGTGTGTGTGTGTGTGTGTGTGTGTGTGTGTGTGTGTGTGTGTGTGTGTGTGTGTGTGTGTGTGTGTGTGTGTGTGTGTGTGTGTGCGCGCGCGCTTGTATTCCTGTGCGTGCGTGCATAAAGGCTGGCGATAATAGGCCTCAAAGTATGCATATTACTCGAATAATTTCCTCTCGAAATTATAAAACCCCATGCCGTGCTGCACGACGCATGAAAAGCGTGAACGTGCTTGCTTTCAAACACGTTTATAAATGTTTCTGCTTGTTAGCCTACTTCCACTCCTCCTTTTCTTCCTTCCTCCATTCTTACCTTCTTTTCTATATCTTTACATTCTTTATTTATCTTATTGTGTTTGTTTTGCAGTGTTTACGCATATGATTGTGATGATGTTCATTATTGTTATCATTACTGTTATTATTGTTACCATCATTATTATTATCGTCATTATCATCCTTATTATTTTTATCATTACTACTTTTATCATAATTATCATCATTCTGCTCCTACTTTCAACACTACCGTCTGGTCGACATGTTGTAGGCGAGTAACGTTTAGAAAACCATGTCACTTGAAACGTATTAAACAGAAATCAAAGAAAGAAGAAAAAATAATAATTTCATCGTTCAGCAGAAACTTAATTTTTCGTCTTCTCACCCTTTCCCAATATATGTATAATATGACTGAAAAAAAACACTAAACTATTTAGTGTCACCAATAAAGGATATAATAATTTACTCACCAATTAAAGGCGGCGACAACAAATGATTTCCTCGTGTCCGATTCCTCACGTTCTCTGCA